ACGAAGCCATTCTCATTGACATTGCTATTCCTAACACAAACAACATTATTCAAACATACGACACCAAGATTTCAAAATATCTATAATTATCGATAGAAATGAAATCCATGTTGAATCTTAAAAAAATTTCAATTCTACCCCTAGTTATCTCTAATGTAGGTGTAGTTCCAAATAGCTTAGTTGAGAATTTAAAGTCTTTGCATTTGAATGATTCAATAATTGTCAAAATTCAAAAAGCTGTTTTGTTAGGAACATGTCATATTGTTCGTAAGTTTCTTGAACAGTCTGATCATGTCAGTCAGATTAGATTAGCACCAGTAGGTCAGAGTAGTGTAGGTCACTTTTCATGTGATGCGCGGATAAATGGTCGGTAGTTACGCTGGACTTTTGGGGATGGGGTGAGATTAGAGAATAATAGCAGACTAATTTGTATGCTGTAATTCTAGAATCTCGAAAGTTGTTCTGTTAATCTAATCAATGCATATCATTACTTGGTCTTAGTACCCGTAATGATAGAAGTCTTGCCTGAATGCCGGTCATTTCCGGGTCAGTGGTGGGTCTTAATATTAATAATCAAATTAATTAAATTCATGTGATTAATGCTAATTAGTAATGATAGAAGTCTTGCCCGAATACCGGTCATTTGCGGGTCAGTGGTAGGTCCTAATAATAATAATAATAATATTAATAATAACACCCATAACACATTTAAGCAGCAATGTTTTTACAAGTCAAAATTTTGTTCAAACTAGGACTTTCTTGGAGGGATTCGGGAATAGTTGTTGTGTTCCTTTGTAAAGGTTTTAGGCCAATTGAAATTTTGAATGTGTACTTTGGAACTTTCATGTAACTGTACTTCCGATGAAATTATTTAAATCGTTATTTCCCGGGACGTCAAATATTACGGCAGAGCTATTTATATGTTTCGTACCAAGTTGATTTAAAAGACTTGGAGTACTGACGATTCTGTCGCTTATCAATGGAAGTTAAATGAATTAACGGTTTTGACTGCTCGATATTTAGCAAAATTTGCCGACGTTCTAGCTCGGTTCGCCGTAAAAACGGCGTTTCAAAAAGGAACATGACGAAATGGTACTCGGGATCCATTTTTCACTCACCTGTACCTATGAAAGAGACAAAAACACGAAACATCAATACGTGGGCTTTTACTCACGTTCATGCTAATTACTCACGCACCCCGCAGCCCTTCCGTTCTGTAAAATAAATGGGAAAATGAGTACTCCGAAAATGGCCGAGAAGCACCGAAGATATCGCCTCAGTTCCGACCGAACGCATGTATAGGAGTATAGGAGCTGAGCCATGGAAATCCGTGTCTATGATTGGGCTTCGTTGGTTCAAGTGAACCGACGTTCTGGCCGCTTCAGTTAAAGAACTAGGAGCATAAATCGAACGGTATTCAACCGAAAATGTCAGCAGAAAGTGTAAAAAATTAAAAATCATCTACAGATTTGCCATTTCAACATACTTTTGTAACTAAAAATGCATTGAAAGCTCTTTTTTAATTACCAATTAAGTCAATCTGTTCTTAAGATATATGCTGTGAGGCGCCGCCTCACTTGCCTCATCTGACGAGCCGCCACTGGAAGATACATAATTTTTAAATTACATTATCAAAACTACTTTCCAGTTTCAGCAAGAGAATTGCTTGAATACCTTGCAGCTGAGTTACCTTGGAAATGTCATTTAATTAATACACAGTTCTTTGGTAAGGTCTTAAAATTGAACGACGTGTTACGAAGGTGTTACAATAAGGATTATTTTCTAATAATAATAATTATAACCAGGATGGAAAGTAACTTTGATCATTTACGAAATTTTAAGATTCTCTGGTTATATTTTAAAGAATTGATTATGCAGTCATTAGTAGGTACTATTTATTTATATTTTGCCATGTAATTCGCGATTAAAATTATAAAGTGGTTTTCTGGATTACCTTGTATAGGAAGCCTTGCATGAAAATCTATTTTACAAATAAAAAGGCATTTTTTATAACATTAGTTTTGAAATTACTAAATTCCGAAAGTAGTTTCCACACCAAAATTTTTTTTGTGTGTCAGTTGACGCATCCTCGTGTCAAAATTTTGTTTTCTTGAAATAATTTAAATATTGCAGTGGAACAAGTGAACCAATATGGCAGCTTAAATTTTAAAGCATTTTAACAAACAAATTCATGTCAAGCATCACAGTATTCGACAAGTAATAAAAGTATTCCGTTTAACGTAGGTACTGTCTGTCCCATTATAAATAAATGAGACATTAGACAGGAACTGGAAAATATGAAACCAAATGAGTTATGTCACTACTGAAAAGATAAAAAAATATTCTATTTTAAAAGTACCTACTTAAAATATATCATTTTTCCAAAAACCAACGAAAATGTACTGGAATTTAGAGTGAAACACGTAAACTGGGACACCCGGTATATTAATTTATTGTCAATTTTTGACAACTTCTAGAATACGTCAGTTTATTCATTTCGCCTGTTTATCATAGTTTGTTGTTTGCCTACTGCCTCTCTATTTAATTGACAACTTTATTATATTAATAAATTGACGAAACTATAAAACTAATTACTATGAAATTTTAGACGTAATGTACGTATGAATTTCGTCTGCTTGATTTAACCACTATCTAAAAATTTTTTATATTTTACCTGTAAAAAACTGGTGGGGACATAATTGTTTTTAATGGAGACATATATTATTTTTATGGTCGAAATACACTACATGTACATGGTCCTTTAACTGTAATGTAATATATGGTCCACTTCTACATTTTAAAATTGCTTATTGCATACGATCTGTATGAAATGATGAAAATATAATAACGTTCTGGGTAGTGTTATACAGTAATATTCTTTTAATTTTGACAAAATGTAAAATTGTATCAATTATGACATGTGGTATGTTTCGGTTGCTATCTTCGTTGTATACATTGTGTTTGTGGAGGTAAAGAGTGCCCACACTTACATTCCGTTTTACAACACCTTGCCAAAATTAAAAGGATTCTACTGTACTAGTATGGAATTCATATATTGATCCACAAAAAAAATATATGACGTCTTAGTTGGGAAATAAATCCTGTAGCCAAGTTTAAATTGTTGACTAACAAAGTGACGTCACCCAATTTGTGGTGTTTTTCTGTGAAAAAAAGCTTTATGTAGTGTTGTAATATATACTATCAACAAAAACATTCTTAAATTGGCCCTAGAGAAGAAGGTTATCTTTCTCATTGTCTACTAGAATAAGAAAGATCTACAAATGCAGCACCAAGTCGAGGATATTTTTTGCTAGTTACAACAAAATTGAAGTTTCTTTAGCAAAGTTTTACTAACCTGAAAAGATTTTTTTGTGTTGAAACAATTCGACAAAATAATGGTGGAAAATAATGATATTTCACATGACTACCAGACGGGTAAGAAAAACCTTTTTTTAAATTTTTCTGTTGCCACATGTATGTGTTGAGAATATATACCTACGTTGATGGATGGGTTTTACAGGTTCAAATCTGCAAATTTTAATTTCCATATATAATATATGTATATATAATATAATCAGTTTGATGATTTGAATTATTATTTATTATATGTTTATTGTTGATACTTGGTTAAGTTAGTTTAAAGTTAAGCATACTATAAAGAAAATTATTTTTACTTAAAACCATGCCGAAATCGAAAACAAGAAAGAGAAGATACAGGAAGAAAAAGGCACAACAAAGAAATAAATTGTTCAAATCTCAAATAAAATTTCTAAGTCTAATCAATGTCATTTATTTTATACTGTTTGGTAGTAACAAAATAGAGTAATAAATTAAATAGTATATAAATACAGTTACAGCTGCGGTAAAAAAACAGGTACGGTATAACGCAAATTAATGTTCTTCGAAACGACATACTGAAAAGAATAATTTATTTATATCTACCATGACTAGCTTAGCATTTAATTTGCATTATATCAACCCAATAAAAAAATACTGTAGAGTGTAAATTTCATACTGATAACATAGAAAAAATAGTAAATTTACACGAAATTTACAAATGACTAGCATTATTCAGCGTATACTTTTGCAACAAAAGTATTTTTACAATGATATATTTAGAACACACATCAAAAAAACATTGCCGTCTTTGTTGAAGCACTTTTGTTGCAATAAAAACTACAATGTTTATTTGTGACACCAATTTTTAAAAATTTAGTGTAAACTGTTCAGAAATTCTCGGTTTTTCAACATTTGTTTCCTGGCTCTTTCCTGTTCCCACGTTTTTCTTAAGACATCGATGGGAGCTGCAATTGAGATAGTTGGACTTCGTCTTTGGATGGTTCTTTCCGAAGGCACCTAAAATGTAAAACATATTACAATTAATTTGTTAAAATGGGATGTGAGGACAAACTGTGTAATAACTACATACTTGAAATAAAAATGTAGCATTCTGACAACATCGAACAAAGCAACAAAACAAAAGTATATTTTTGTTTGTAAGAAGTGTCGTTACAGAGAATTTTGTGTAAGGAGAATGGTGTTACATTTTTGAATGGTAGATGTGTTTTCTTAATTAATTATTTTCATGTAAACGTTTTTTAATTTTATTGAAGTAAATGGTGGCTCATTGGTGTTAAAAGGTATTGTGTTAACCGTAAAGTTAGTGTTTAATCCACAACAAAATACATGCTAGTAAAATTACAAATTTCTAATCTACTACTTCACGTATCAGTTTTCTAGTGGACATTCACATCTACGAAAAGATACTTACAGGGTTACAATTTTTGTAAAATTTCTTCCTGTAGAACACTACCAAGGTTATTTATTTTATGTTTACTGTTCTACTCACTGTTTTGTATTCTATGGCATCGTTATGCCAACTTAAATTAATTAAAAACTTATAATTTAACGCACTTTCAAAATCTTCTATTATTTTTCCTTTAGCTATGTCGCTTTGCGAATAAAAAATGCAACGTTGGTAAGTCATACCACATTTTTACCTGATTATCGATGTCGTTTGATTCCATTTCCGTAAGTACATAAAAGCGTGGATCTGTGACTCCGCTCCATTCACTGTTAGGTCTGTATTTGGCGGCAAGTTTTGGTAGAAGATAACTGACGGTTTCTTGATCAGCAGCTACATCAACGGGTTCTAAGAATTTGCCTCCATAGTAGTTTGTACGGTCTTCGCTTTTCACAGCAACAACCAAAGCAGCGCATACCAAATAAACGGGCACGCGCATGATATGGACCTGCAAACAAAAGAAAACTGGTTATAAAACTTCCAAATACACATCAAAGTTAAACTATTTACATATAAATTACAAAATGTTGTTTATTTATGTTACTGGTGTGTAAATAAACTCTTCGTGTCAAAAAGATTTATATGGAATAAGGCGAATGTCGGGACCTGTAAATCTCTAAGGTCTGAAAGAGCTCAGCATTGGACCAAATTTGTTTTGTTCCCAGAGACGCACCTCAAAAAACCGGCTAAATGGCTGATTATTATTATCGTACAATTTTTGACACAGAATTAAAATGCTTGGCAGGTAGTATGGTATTTATTAAGATAATTCCTTGAAGGTATTTATGAATTTATGTCAAGGTTACAAAATAAACTAACTTTACAATCAGCGAAGATATTTTTTTTTTAGTATGTCTACTGTTAAAAAGCGATTAGACTTATTAAGTGTAGTTCAAAATATATTTTTTTAAATATTGAACTGTAGAGACCAGATATTATTCCTAACAGAAAATCCCTCATTATAAAGTTTTACGTTTTAATAAAAGGTGATTCCAATCCCTACAACGAAAGTTCGTAATTAGTAAGATTAAGGAGACAACTAAGTTTCTTAGATGGAAAATAGGATAAAGCCTCACAGAAATATAAAACTAATCAGATTATTGTAAACAATGATGTAAGCTAGCTTTTTGCTCTACTTAACGCTTGAGATATATAAAAATAAACACGTAATACTCTGAATATATACGTTAGCATTCTCATCTGTCCATTTAATTAGTTATTGCATTTATATTTGCTATAACCGTCTGAATTCTTCAATAATGTGTGTTAATTTACCACACAGACTTTCTTTTTTATTAGCTATAGGTAATTTTCTTTTATTGTGAAATATAACATAATAATAACTAATAACTTCCTTTGAGGAGGTTAATAACTGCTTGTAGCACCACACTGTGTGAGTCAAATTTTTGGTGAGATCACAGCTCTCATTGTTTAATATTCTCCGACTTCCCCTAAAACAAATATGATTGTAATAAAAGTTGTGTAGCTATTTGATGTGGGTTTAATTTTCTTTTCTCGGAATGTTATTGGAAAGACGTTGAAAAGAATGCAATAATAGACCTTAAAGATTTCCAATAACTTTGTCACGTAGGTACTTATCGGGAAAGCATCTATCTAATTCCTGTATAATGAGAGTTATTTCATTTTCTTTAGCGGTCCATAAATAAACCTCTACATAAAACAGACTTTTACTTAATTTTATGTGAATAATAAAACTTTGAATAACACAATCATCTGTTGGCTTTAACAAATTAGGAAATTTATACGCTTTCATTTTTTTGTGAAAAAAATCTTTTTAAATTAGCGGTTTAAATTAAAAAAATCAAAGGATTTACTCAGTCTGAAACACGGGCCTGTTGTTAATGTGTACCTGTGTTTCCAAGAGAACACATATCTCTTCTCATCTTCGGGTTTTTAATGGAAATGTTAGGTAACTGGAATCATCAAAGAGAGATGAATAAATAAAACTCGTACTGACGGTGTTCCAATCTGTGAAATAAACTGCCACGCATTAAAATAATAACTGTAAAGGAAAACCCTTTTTCTCGTCGAAGCGGAAAAGTTTGTTTTCGTGGTATGGATAACGGAATGTTTTGGTTGCAATCAACCCGGAAAAATAGCATGTCCGGAAGTTTTTTGAATACGGTGAATGTGTTATTTCGTCTAAAAAAAGCGCCCTTATAAATAGTTAATTCAGAAGCACGGTGGTATTTAGTGGGTGTTATTGAACCCGCTGACATTTTCACTAGAGAGGGAGGGTTGATTCTTTAAACACTGACTTTTTCGGGAATATTAAATATCGATAAAAATGTAAAGCAAGGAATTACACCGCTTCTGATTTTTGCGAAAAAGTTAAAACTAAGAAAAGTAGTTTTGAAGTTCTTGACTCTCTTCATTACTTCGTAATATTCAGTTAATTTATTTAAATTGGAGCTTCTATAGATAGCAGTAAGAGAAATGTTTGTTTTGTTACCGTAGTTATCATTAGAATGTATTTAAAGCACAACTATTTTTGCAGAGTTGTATATAGATAACAAAAAAAAATGTGATCTGTTCTTTTTGATGACTACCTGGTTTCAGCGTCTTTTACAAAATAGGAAAATTCAAGTCGGGTCAAGTCAAATCAGGTCAGGTCAGGTCAGCTCAGGTCACATTCCATTTTGTTTGTTTGCCTGCTGCAAATATCTTAAGCAACAATCTCTATGTATAGCATAAGTATTGCATTGGGATATTATATTGTAAGTACTCAAATATATACATATACAGAGTGAGTCACTAAGTGGGCGCTCCCCAATATCTCGTTAATTATTATGAAAAAAAGTTAAATCAAAGTTGTATGGTTCTTTAAGTACCATACACAAAAATTATTTTCACCTATAACGAGTGTTCTGTTTTTTAGGCGCAACATCCAACATACTTTTTTCAAATAGAACGTCCTATATATTGTTACAAACTGTGATAACGTCGTCGTAGACTTGATAGTTGTGATTTATCTTTGAAATTTTGATGTGATGTTGCCACGTTATTCTAATTTTCTGAAAATTTTTTAACAGTGCGGGAGTACATAAAAAATCGCAATCAGATTATTTTTAAAATCTCTGTTACAATATTTTATAATTAAATAAACTGATATTTTTATATTTCAGTTTTTTCAAATAGAATACCCTTTATGTTATTATGCATCTTATTTTATTTTTTGTTTTCTTTGTTTCGATTTGTTAGTGCCTCTTAAAAAACTAAAAAATTTTTAACTTTAGATATACGAAATACTTTAGAAAAATGGAATAAAATAAAAAGGAGAGTAAGATATAAAATAAATACGTGTATTATTTGAAAAAAAATACCTGAAATATCGATATTTAAAAATTGTAAAAATTTTGATTTTTTTATAAACACTCTGTGTCTTAAGACTCCCTTTATTTACACCACAACAATGTGTGTACTTTTGTTTACTTTTCCACAGAATATTGTAACACAGATTTTATAAATAACATTATAACGATTTTTTGTGAACCATTGCATTGCTAAAAAAATTCAACTAAATTTGATTAGCGTGTCAACGTTGTAACAAAATTTCAAAAATAAACTACAGTTTTAAAACCTAGGAAAAGACCAATGCGAATATATTTTACTATATAAAGTGTTGTATTTAAAAATACTAAGTTGTGTATTATGTCTCAAAAAGAGAACACTCGATATAGTTGAATTTTTTTTAAAGTATAACACTCAAAGAACCGTACAACTTTACTTTTAGACTTTTTTTTATTTTAAATAATTACTGGGCGCAGCGATATTATTGCTAGTTAAGCAACGATATACATAGTGGATCATCTGGCGATTTTCATATTTTTAGCCGTGTGTATTAAACGGGCATTTTAATTACGGCTTTAAAATAATCTCAATTTATATTATCTGATTTTGAACAACACAAAACAAATTTTTAATTTCATGAGAAAATGATTTAATAAGTTTATAGAAAATCGGTTAAATAAAGTAATGTACGTTTGCCCGAAATTGGAACGAAAGCAATTTAATTTATGTACTAGAAAAGAATGGTACAAGAATGGTAATTTTGCCGTAAGCTAAGGAAGTATTGTGATATGGTTCACAGTAGGGTAAGAAAATGTAGGTCTTCTGCTTCCGTTTGTCAGTGTTTGTGTCAATTTTTATTAAAGAGATAATCTCCAAAACTACTGGAGCGAATGTTAGTAAATTTTAGATGTATGTTAGGAATATGGCGAAGATGGTAAAACGCTAACCCAAATTTGTTGAATTATCCCCACTAACAATTGGATGACGTCACTTTAAAATTTTGCATGGTAAATTACATAGACATCTATATTTTAGGGAAAAAATCAAAACTGTATGGCAACATTCAACTATTTAAAATGGAGGGGGTTGCCATAAAAAAAAACTCGCAAAATCGAATTTTAATTTTTTTAGAAAAAGCTGGATATGTTGTACTGAATTTCAGGGGCGAGGAATGTTCTGTTGAAATAGCCTTCAACCATTTTTTTATGATCATGTTGTTATGTGGTGAGTATTAAGGATTAACTATCTGAAATGATATCTTAAGCGTTATCTCTACCATCCAGATGTGTAACATATTTGTCACTATAGAAAATATAAATAATACCTACTTTGGTTTTATACGTAGGTATTGAACAATAATTGTAAAAATTAAATAAAACAAGAGTCTGAAAAATCTAACCAACGATTTCCCACACTGATTTATATCACCGACGTTTATATCTATATTTCTCAAGATAATTTTTCAAAATTTAAAACTATTTTTTGTAAAATTTTGACCTTTGTACGTCGGGTCAATCGGATTGACGTCAAGCACCGATTTCGCATCGTTTTTAATTGCTAAAGTACAAGCGCTAGAAAAAGAAAAGTGACTTTTCAATGTAATTATCGACAATTTATAAAACGTATGAGAATTTGTAAAGAAACTAAAACACAAAGATTTGCCTACAGTAACGTTCGGGGTGGTTCGGGGCTATCTGAAGAAGGAATTTTTAAATGTTTTGTAAATATTTCATTAATATTTGAATGCAAAATTGACTTAAAATGTTAAACCAATGTAACGGTTTAATAACAGCAGCTTAAAAGTGGTCAGGGAATTAACTAAATATGAAGTTATGTAGGATGCATAAAAACAAAATTGCAAATTTTTTCAATGAATTGTTTTAGGTTTAATTAAGTTTGTAAAATAGTTCAAATTCACATTATCATAGAAATATCTGGACTCGTTTCTTTAATTTGCATGGCATATTAAATAGGCTAAATAACTAGTATGTAAATGTAGTAACTACTAACTTTGCACGGTGTTACTAGTAGTAGTAGCAAGTTTGTTTGACATTGTAACACCTATAACATATGCCTCTTTTTTTTGTACATCATACATACATCAAGTATTCTAATTCTACATACGATATTAAAAAA